TTTACTTCAACCTGTAGTATATGTAGTGGAATCTGATTTCTATGTGCTTGCTTCGTCCCTAGGTGCTCCCATAAACCGGTGAGATCTTTGGGGCCGAAATCGTCCCTAGGTGCTCCCATAACCGGTGAGATCTTTGGGCCTTTTCGGCCTTTTCCTTGTTCCTAAGTTTGCTCAAGTAATTCCTGCCTTTCCTGCGTATACGCCCCGTGGGGACCCCAACGGGATTTGATTGCGCGGTGCGCTTGGTGGAGAGAGATGCCAGCATCTCTGGGGGCACAGATCGTAATATGGCGGCGAACGCCGGCCGATCCTCCCGATACTCAATCGTTTCTCCTTCCTCTGGCTCGAGGCAGCATGCCATAACCCTTGTGCCTGTATAGGTTGACTTTGCATTTTCTTCTGCTCGAACCTGTGTGCCTGTATAGGTTGACTTTGCATTTTCTTCTGCTCGAACCTGAGACCTGTGTGATGTTAGGTCAAAGCTCTAACCACTTGAGCTATGATAAGTTGGCTCCTCTGCAATGATATACACCGATCTGTGCCATTCCTTACAAAATTTCAGTCTAAAATTATGGTAAAAGGGAGATTTTTTGAAATCGTGTGAATAAGGAAAACTGTAAAAACTCAGATTTTATCTAACAACGAATTACTACTAGTATACTCTTAATACACTAACTACATAGCTAATGGTATTCCTATCACCATGGTGTTTGATATGAACAAATTTGGATGTATAAAGAGTTTGAATGAACAACAAAATCATCCAAAGAAAAGCCCAAGCCTACCATTCATCGCTAGCAAATATTGTACGTTTTTGTCCGTTACGTATCACCGTTGGCTTAATGATTTTAGAACGTGTCTATTAAGGACAAGTTTCCACGTCCTTATCAGAAATGATTCGTTCCCCTCCAACCTCCGACCTGTAATCTCTGGCGAACTTTCCGAAGGAAATAAGGGATGGTCTAACAATGAAACAGCACAAGGGCCAGAAGAAGAAGCCCAATTGTGCTGGGGCCTTAGACCTTCTGTTCGGCATACTTCAGAAAGGATGCCATTTTCTTGTCCAGAATTTGAAATCCCTGGACTTCGACCGGTGCCGAAATAAGCAAGGAAGAACTTGAAGAGCACTCATATTGATATGTTTAATGCTCGTTTTCTGTAAAATTATCACCTTCCAACCTCATTCATACAATAGCACCAATAAGGCATTGTGTAGAATCACTTCCTAAGCACATAAAAATGTATACCTATGGGGAACAAAGTTTGGATCAATAAGACTTGTCTGGAATCACTCCACCGCTCTCTTCGCCCTCAAATCTGTCGAGCTCTGCAGTGGGCCGCGTTCTCGACATGTAAAACCCCAAACTCCTCACCTCCGATCTGGACTATGATCATTACCCCATCTTCGATTTCCTTCTTAATGAGGTTCGATGCCCTAGAATTCTCGTCTCCGACTTGGACCTTCAATCTCCTCCATTTCCACCGTGCATGGATTGTCGCTTTCTTCGTCGAAAATGCTGAAGGTTAGCGACGGGGAGCTCAGTGCAAGGTTGATAGAAATGAAATTGCACTCGTTGACGGCTGATCGTCGAAGTGAGTTGCTTTGCTTCTTGTAAATTTGTAGTTTCTTCGGATGTGATTATTTGTGGTTTATGGCTCTTTAGAATCTTCAATCTCCGTTAAAACTCAATCGATTAGGTTGTTTATGGATGAGTATGAATATGAAGCAGGGCATTATTACAATCGAAAGCTAAGAAAAATTATGAACACTAGCGATTCCCACAACTGATGCTATGTTTCAGTGATATCAACCCATTATGTTTAACAACACTTTGAACATCTTTTTAATCTTGGGATTGACTTTGTATGCAGTATTTTCACTAAAGAGATCAGATTCTACATAGCTGCAAGGACCTGTGTTTCTTAATATTATGCTAAAAATTGGAATCCTGGCAGCTCGGTATTGAGATAAAAATGATGTTGTATACACAAATTGACACAGTGGCTGCAGCTAAACAAGTGGCACGGATGGTTGTATGTAATTAACACATGAACTGCTGATGATTTGATGCTTCTTATAGTCTGTCTGCCACAAACACACGTGCTGCTATGCGGAAATCCTGGATGAGCTTTGCTGACGTTAGTTTAAGTTAAGTTAACTTTTCCCTTCCTTTGTGCAGGAACTGTTATGGAAATGATCCTACAGCTCGATTGATAAGACCAGGCCTTCCACACATAATGCAGCCCTTGACTATCTATATTGGTTGGAGGTTCACAAGATTGTTTCCATCACCAGTCAGAACTACAGCTCGATTGACAAGACCAGGCCTTCCAACAGATTCATTTGTTAATGCAGCCATTGACTATCTAAATTGGTTGTAGGGATTCACAAGATTGTTCCCTTCTTGAATGGGATCATCAGTCAGAATGTTTGCTGTTTAAACAGAGAATACGTAGAACACACACACTCGACGCTTCCACAGTTGCCATTTGTTGATGTAATGTAGGCCCAGACTACCGTAGTTTGTTGAGCGACTTGCATTACATCTGGAAGATTGCTGTTTAATTAGAGAATAGCTGGAAAAAAGTCCTGTAACGGCTAGTAGATATTGTCATCTTTGGACTTTTCATTTCAGATGTGTCTACTAAGTAGAGGTTCCCGCACTCTTATAAAGAATGTTTCGTTCTCCTCTGGGATCTCACAATCCACTCCCTTCAGGGCTCAACATCCTCGCTGATACTCATTTTTCTCTTCAATTAATATGAAATCTCACAATCCACCTTCTAGTATCCTCGCTGACACTCGTTCCTCTCTCTAATCGATGTGAGACCTCATAGAACTCTCTCAACTTGTATATTATAATAGATATTGTCTATTTTGGACTTCTACTTAAAGTTTTTAAAACACGTTTATTAAGGAGAGGTTTCCGCACCTCATAGAGAATGTTTCATTCTCCTTTCCAATTGATGTGGAATCTCACAATCCATTTCCTTCAGGGCCCAATGTTCTTACTTATGCTCATTTTCCTCTTTAATCGATTTGGGATCTCACAGTCCATCTACTTCGGAGTCAGCGTCCTCGCTGTCACTCATTCCTCTCTTCAATCGACTTGGAATCTCACCAATAGTAGTAATCTGTAATCTGAACTCTCTCAAACTTCCAGAAAGAAGAAAGGGAAGGAAGGGTAAACCCCCAAATCATGTGATAACTAAAGGCACTGTCCTTCTCCACCTTATTAATGTAGGCTACTGAATCATCGGTAGGACTTGAAATTACATTCCTGGAGGAAGAAAGTTAGTGTGAAAATGAAACTAGATTTTGTCCCACCAAAGTTAGAAACAATGAGAGATATCTCAGTGCATGATGATTCATTTTCTTGTTGAAACATGAGCCGAAGGACACGGTTTCTTGCTGCAGAGATGCATCACTGTCGCAGTCCAGATTCCAGAGTACGTTGTCCACTACATGACAAGTTTTGAAGGGTACAGTATGAGAGACCTCGGGTCATCTCTGTTTCTCGGGACACCAAATGCAAATGCAAATGCAAATTGGGGTTGCAGTCGTCACCTCTGGACCCTTTAACTTCCTACAATCAATTTGCTCAGACACAGAAAAACAAGAGAGAGGGGATCTGTCCCATTCTGTAATCATTCACCCTCGAAGGGTGAGATGAGTATTGATTTGAAATTCATGGTTTTCATTCAATTCTCTCTCTCTCCCTACTCTACACTGCATTTATGTCATGTCTGGTTGCCTCCAACACAGATCAGAGTCGAAGGAGAACGAATGTTCTACAGAAGTTAGTTAGTTGGTTTACAATACTTCTTATATGTTTGATTAAGGAGATTTGATGGGATTAAATGGATGTTATTGCAAAAACTAGCTCAGCTGGAAGTGTAGGCCAAGTAGAATTCATACACGACAGCGAAATGATCTGTTATGAGACAGAAATTTCAGAATCCACATGTTATGAATACATGGTCGTGTCGTGTGTGAAGGAATTTTGGTTTGTCCTTGTGCTTTACGACAATCATAACTGGCCACTATGCTTCAATCTTCAAATATGTATATCTTGAAATCAAATGATCAATCTTCCATTCTTTTCTTATCTCTTCTTCAGGGTTGTTCACACAACATGTTGGAATGATAAAGGAGCATCATGGGATTTGTATCTGGGTTGGTTGATTGGTTCCTCTGGATTACTTTTAACATACAAACATGGAAAAGTGAGAGATCTTTTAAGTGATATGCTTTATATATTGGTATTTGCAAATCCCAACATAAAGATTCATTTTTGTTTGTTCTCTGCACTGAAGGGTACCCTTCGGCACTACCTTTAGCATCCATTCCGTATCCTTCCAAGGGAGCAAACCCAACAGAATATTTTGGCTCAGCCCTACCATTTATATTGTGGGCCATTTCTTACCAAATTCCTTTATTACATTCATACTCCTTATATGCTCAGGCTCCTAGCTAGCTACCCTTGGCATCCTTTGCTGCCCATTTGGGGTTGAAGAAGGTTAGTTGGCACTGCCAATATAATGGAGTTCCTGTTTTTTCCATCTTGGAAGAAGCCAAAACAGCAGTGGGTTCTGTCCTTTACGTATTATGTATAAACCAATTATTTAGAACAAGATTTCTGAGATAATCCAGTTTGATTTTGGTGTTGTCTGGATGATCCAAGTTGATGAAAATTCTCAAGCTTTCACGGCTGATGTGTTTTTGGTTCTTGCGTTTCATTCAGTATGAAAAGGAAATAGGGAGAAGAGAATGAAGAGGACAGAGTTTGCACAAGTGTTGTATGAGAAGGGGATCCTAAGTTTGCTTGTTCAGGTAAGCTGTCAAAAGTCGCAATAATTCTGCTATTAGGAAGCAGTCAGAGGGCTCAGTTCTGTAGGGCTAGAAATGCCGCACGTGGGATTGGCAGAAGATAGAAACAAATGCTAAATATTCAATTTAAACCCCTAAAAATTAGTTCTTATTTTATTTTTTATGGGAGGTGCAGATCAGGCCAGACCAGACCAGACCTGAAAAGGATGAAGTTAACGAAGGGGGGGAAATTTAGGCGTTTACCAATACTTTTACACACCTCTACTTCTCAATATTGCCCTCATCTTCTGCTTCCGATTGTCCTTTGTCAGACCACTCACTTCACCAAACACAAACCTTTTCAAATCATGCTCACTTTGGCCTAATGATTTAGCATAGTAACAGTTAAACGTTAGTAGATATTGTCTTGTTCGGATTTTTCCTTTTAAATTTTCCTTTAAAGTTTTTAAAACGTGTGAGATCTATGTCTAAAATGACCCAACTTAATGCTTACGGCTATTTTTATTTGTTTGATGGGGTGAAAACAATTGATCACTTGAAAAATATGTGTAGTAAGAGGTTTTAGAGTGATAGAAAGTGCTGAAAGAATCATCCTAATCCCTGTGCAGCATAGTTTGTTCTGAAATCATGAACACAAATAGATGAACATTTATTAGATTCCAAAACAAAGTGGAAGTATAGTGATATCAGGTATTGTCATTAAAGAGAGTACTGTATAGCAAATTCAAGGAAATGGGTAGCTTTGGTTTTTTCTTCCTTGTAATGTAATGTAGAACCAAACTGTGAAGGCAAGTAGATTAAAGGGTTTTTGTGGTGATTCTAAAAGAAGCAAGGTTGAAAATTACCAAAAGGGAATGGATTATATGTATTGATTCAGAGGTTAGATTGATAGATGGGTTTGGAAGGAAGTCGAAATGAAAGATGCATCATGAGTTTGAGATCTATGGCTCAGAGTTTGATAGCTCATTAATGGAGATAGTGTGTTGTTTGGTTGGTGGTTGTTGTTGTTGGAAGCTCTGTTTCTTGACCCATGACTGTTCACCCCCATTGTCACAGCTGATAGTACATTCCTGATACACTGTGCCAAACAATGAATTGAATGAAACGTCTGATTTTGGGATTCCCAAGGAGATAAATTAAAATTAAAATAAAAATAAGAAAAACCCACTCACTCTCTATTTTCAGCTTCAAAGTTTGTTTTGTTTCAGCACTGTTGAGGATGTAAGCCCTAAGCCATTCATGTGATATCCTCCATTCCAAGTACATTCCTAGGGGTGAAAAAATCTACCCTTCTGTTTCTTTTTTACTGGCTTTCTTGTTAAGGCCCCTCTTTATCTTCTCTTCTCCTAAAAGGACAGAAATGATATGAACAATATCATGAAACTTTCTTTATCCACCCATGTGTTCAAATAGCCATTCAATGCCTCAAGATATATCCCCAGCCAAACAAACATGATAAGAATTCATGGGAGAGGGTACCACTGCATCTAAAACCTTTCTAAACACTCTTGGTTTCAAATAGTAAACCAACCATCGTTCTCTTTAAGCTTTCTCTTAAAGTTTGAAAACACGTCTATTAAAAAGACGTTTTCACATCCTTCACAAGGATATTTTGTTCCCTTCTCTAAACAACGTAGAATCTAGAGTCAGTGATAGAGAGGTAGAAGAGGGTAAACAAAGTTCACGAGTGATTGAGAGAGGGGAGAGAGAGAGAAATAGAGAGGAGGGTGTTAAAATTTGTTGACAATAAAGGCAAAGGAGGGGGTTTGGTGGGTCAACCTCAGTTGGTTAAGGCCGGAGAAGAGGGAAGAGGGGAAGAGGGGAAGGGGCTAGATGAGTGTGATTGACAATGTGTGTGAGCAGGAGCAGTAGCAGCAGCAGCAGCCATGACAGGGTTGTCTGTGTTCTAATAACTAAGGTGTCAAACTCAAAACCCTCTCTTTCCACCTCTTCTACTTTTGTTGGGTTCTGAAAGCTGAAATCTGCATTGAAAAGAAAGGCGTCAAAGCACACTACTGCAGCCATAAGCCTACTATCTATCTATTACTATCTATTATGTATCTATATGCTGCTGGAAACTGGAGTCACAGACAACCAACCCATCATTTTTATAGCTCTCTTTTATTGGCATTTGAGAGAGGGACAGCCACTCACACCCCATAAACCATAAACCAAACCCCAAAACCAGAACTCCCTCAATTTCACACTCACAAACAACTCTTACTTACACACAGCCTATTCATATTTGTGAATTTGAGGGTTCATCAAACTCAACACACTGTGTTTTGCCTTTTTTCCAATTGGGTTTCTTCCTTTCACTTCAACCTTCTCTCTCCATGCTTCAATCATATGAACGGCTGTTTCAATATTTGACCAATTAGGATTCTAACAACAGGAGATGGATTTAACACTATAAAAACCAATTCAAAGATTTATAGTATTTGAGCCTAACAGTATAATTTAACTAAATTTGTTAAAAGGATGGTAATAGATAAACAAAGATTCTATTATTATTATAGTGTAATATAGTGTGAGACTTGCTACGGTCGGTCATAGAGGATAACGAAGTATTTTTTTTTAAGAGTGTGCACTAAAAACATTGAGAGGAAGTCCGAACGGAAGACTCAAAGAAAATAATATATTCTCTTATTTTGACTTTCCAACCTTGAACCCTAAACACATTTTCTTAATTCTCATGCCCTCGTAACTATTCAAGAAAATTTATTGCATTATTATTTATCTTAAGGTCTTATGTATCACCATCAACCTCACGATTTTAAAATGTGTTCCAATCAGAAAAAGTTTCCACACCTTATGTGAGATCTTACAATCCGCTCCTTTGAGGACCCAGGTATGACAGTGACACCCAGCGTCCTTGCTAGCTCACCATCCCATGTCTGACTCTGATACCATTTGTAATAGTCGAACCCCACCGCTAGTAGATATTGTCCTATTTGACTCGTTACGCATCGTTGCCAATCTCACAATTTTAAAACGCGTGTGCTAAAAAGAAAAGAAGTTTATATACTTTCACCAAAGGATGTGGAACTGAGGTAGAATGTTAGAGGAGCCAAAATCACCTTTTGTCACTGCCAAAAAGTCTGACTTGGTATAAACCCAATGACCCATTAACTTCTTCAAACCCTAAGTTGGGTTGAACTTAAAATACAAAATTACAGACTGAAAGGAGAAACACTTCCCCCACCTCCCCACCTCCCCTAATTTGATCTACCACTTCCTCCACCCTTTAATTTATTAGTTAATTTGAAACAGTTAGGAAAGAAAGTATTGGGATTGGTAAAAGAAAGATAGCAGAAGATTTGTTTGGTTTGATTTCTCCACTGACTTCCCAGAGATTCATAAATAGAAAGAGAGAGAGAGAGAGAGAAGCGTACGATTTTGTCAAATAAAATTTGGTATGTTTATTATTGTTCTCAATCGCCTCATTGTTTGAGGCCATCTTGGAGCATTCAATTTTTAAAAAATAGTGTTAATGAAAAGGGAAAAGGAAAAGGAAAGTGAAAGGGCGATGTCCATGTCCATAGAAAACCAAAAGCAACCCAAATAAATCCAAACTTGTTAGCTAAAAAGGGTTACACCAGAATTGGTCAGCAGTGCTCGTGTTGCAATCTCCTCGCTCTCTTACTGTTTACCCTCCTCCTCCTCCAAGTTTTTCCCGTTCCTCTTCGTACACTGCAATATTCCATTTCTTTCCCAGCCCACCTTCAAACGCTTCCACTTTGGCCTATAAATCTCAACTCCTTTTACAAAAAATGCAAGCTTTGTTATGAACAAGCCGCTAATGGGTATGTTGGTTGATGATGATTATGGTATGAAAGGGTAGGAAAGCATGGATCTTGATCTCAACTCTGCACTCATGTCCATCTCTGATTTTCCATTTTCATGCGAGTCTATGATGAGTAGAAGCTCAGAGACTGATTTCAGCGATGGATTTGTTGAAAATCACAACGCTAATCCAGCTTCTTGTTCCAATGCTAATAATAATAATACTACACCCACTGGGGCTCAGTCTAGGCTCTGTGCTAGAGGCCATTGGAGGCCTGCAGAGGACACCAAATTGAGAGAGCTCGTAGCCATTTATGGCCCCCAAAATTGGAACCTCATTGCAGAGAAGCTAGAGGGAAGATCCGGTAACACACCCACCCACAATCATATTATGCTTCTTTCAACTTCAATTTTCTTTTTGAAATGTGTTCTGTTTGGGTTGTTATGAAGGTAAGAGCTGCAGATTGAGATGGTTTAACCAACTGGATCCAAGGATTAACAGAAGGGCATTCAGTGAAGAAGAGGAAGAGAGGCTAATGCAAGCTCATAGGATATATGGAAACAAATGGGCGATGATTGCAAGGCTTTTTCCTGGGAGGACTGATAATGCAGTGAAGAATCATTGGCATGTCATAATGGCAAGGAAATATAGAGAGCACTCTCGTTGTTACCGAAGGAGGAAGCTGACCCAATCTGTTTACACTAAAATGGACCAAGATTTGAGCTTCCTTAAGCATCATAATATACCAAACTTTCAGGCTTCTATTGGTGCTGTTGATTATGCGTTTTTAACCCAAATGCCCATTGCTGGAGCAGAGGCAATGCCCAGTGACACCCCGTTCTTCACCTCATGTGCTCATCTTTCAACTCTCAATGTCCTTCCAGGTTAAATTTTGATTGAATATGCATACAGTTAGTTAGTTACCCATTACTGAGTATTGTATGAATTGGGCGTTGGTTATTATGGTGTGTGTGTGTGCGCGCGCGCAGATCCCAAGAGCAGATTTTGGGATGGAACAGGCAATGGGATTCTGGTACCAGGAAGCCACAGTGAGTATAGGGCGTGTAACACGGCGGCGGCGGCGGCGGCAAACGACGGCGTTGGGGGATCACAAGTGGCAGCAGGTGGATCTTCTTCATCAATGATGGGGGAGGCGAGGAAACAATCACCAAGATTTATTGACTTTCTTGGAGTTGGAGCCACAGGAAGTTGAAATGTGAGAGAATCTGAGATATGGGATTTGGAATAATAATTAGTAGATTACCTCACTACAATGGATTAGAGAGGAAACTGAAGAATATAGTGAGTGGTGGAACATCTTGATTTTATTATTATTATTATTATTATTATTCACATATAATATAGACTAAAAGTATCCTTAATTTTAGATTGTTTTGCATTTATTAAGGTTGGTTGCTTGTTTTTTATCCTATGTTTCCTCGACGTGTACTGTCTGTGT